GTCTAATAACTTCCATGATCAAGAAGAACCCCTCTCCTGGTCCCAACCCCTCCTTGAAAGGCAACCACTGTTCTGACCTCTATCATCACAGACCTGCCTCACCTGTCTGAATCTTGTATAAATGGACTATGTCGTAGGTAACGGTGGCTGGTTTCTTTGGTGTAAAAGTGTGTTTGCTGAGCTTCATACACGTTGCTATGTACAGTTCTAAAACAGTTACAATAACTAGCAATTCATTTTCTCAGTATGAACTGCAGGGTACAGCAACTAAAGCAATTAACTGTAAAATCCTAATACACTTTCCAAACGAAACTACTTCCTTAAGTGGGATAAAAACCTCTGTTTCTTGTTACGCTTACATAAATTTACTTTGCATTTTATTAGCATTTCTGATTTCCACATTGTGTTTTTATTTCATCAAGTCCTATGTTTTCCGAGTTGAGAACATATTTATGGTTCTGCCATAAATAGAGAATTATTAAGTATTGAACATTTTGAATTTGTAAAAGCATTCTTTCTCAATGCAGTAGAGATTTCTACTGCATAAATGTAACACAATTTATTCATCTATCCACGAGATGATAGATAAATGATTGATGACTGATGGACATTTGGGTTATTTTCAGGTTTTGGCCACTACAAATAATGCTGCTTTGACCATTCGTAGCTAGGAGTGGAAATGCTGAATTCCGAGCTGCCTGCTAACTGATCCTCTAAGCTGACTGACTTCCATCCTGCTCTTCCTCTACACAGCCATTTTATACGTTATTGCTGGAGAAAATGTTTCTTAGATACAAATTTGATTCCATGCTCCCGTTCAGAGTTCTTCATTGGCTCTCCACTGCCTTTAAATTCAAAGCATCCAACCTCCTTACACCGTGCTGATGTAACACATCGTCTTGATCATCTTGCAAGGTCCCCCTCCACGCTTATGCCAAGACATTTCGGCCCTTTGACTAGGTCATTCTCTCAAGCACCTTTGCACTGCAGGTACGGCTCTGCCTCCTTGATAACGCACTGGATATTTGTACGTCCTTCAAACCCACTTTAGTTTCCTTCCAGGCATCTTCCCCAGTCTTTCGGCCCCTCTTCTGATCTGGAAGTGTTGAAAAACACTTGTGCTTCCCAAGGGCTATGTTTTTTGTTTTATTATGGCTAACTCTCAAAGCGTTTACTTAACTCCTCCAATTCCGGAGCTAGCTCTTGAACCCTTTAGCACGGGACTGACACACAGTGGGTGCACCATGTGTGTGTGCTGAGTAACACAGGTGCTAACTGCACAGGACAGAATCTGCGAGTTTACATTTAACCAGCGGTAAAAGCACAGTACTCATAAGAAAGTGTCAGTGTGAACCCAGAGGTGACAAAATTGGCATTCGAGTATTTTAAGCCCAGTAAAGCCCTGCAGTATTGATTTAGACTCCTGGAATAAACCCTAAATCTTACTGTTAGTGATGCTACTGTGAATACTATCATGTATAGCATTATAATTAAAATTAATATACAATTATATTATATAATATTATATATTAGCATAATATTAAAATTCTTAAATATATTCTAGGACAATACCAAAGAAGGAATATTGTTGTTTTGATCTATAATTTGTGATTTCTGTGTGATCTTAAATAAAACATTTAACTGAAATAATTTTATTGATACTGTTTAAATGCTCATTGAAAAGAAGTTACAAGTCAGTCATACTTATGAAAAAGTAAATAGAAAAATAACTGCAAAAAATTATGTTTAATGTTATTTAGAAATGGAGAAAATGCTAGGTTAGTGTAAAATTCTGCAGACACAGCTTTCTTAACACTTTATCACTTAAGCAAAGCTTTTCCCTCCCTACAGATTGAAATAGGCCAAATGTCACAAGTCAAACAGACCAACATGCTCCACCCTATACATTCAGAGGGTTTTAATAAAAGGAATGTAAGGAATCTAATGAAATCAAAACAAAGGAATTGATGAAGCAAACAGAACTGACTCCTCAAGCCATTTTCAGATTTCAGTTTATAAATTACCTCTTTTAATAACTTGTCTAAGATTATGAAGACAGACAGACCCATAGACAGACATGTAGCCAAAATTCTCTTCCATTTCCCAGCTTTGTAAATACACACAGTGAATATAACATATGCCCTTTTCCCAACTATTCCTTCAAATATGTTGTTTTCTCTGTCAACAAGTCCTTAAATTGCTATGGTTAGCTCATTGAAGGTGGAGAAAAGATAAACTAACTTATTGATTGATAACTATTATTTCAGAAATGAATGAAATTAATACATATCTCATTTGTCTCTAAAAGCTCCAAAACATTTGTAATAACTACCAATTCATTTTCCCAGTATGATTCTGCCATAAACAGAAAATTATTACTTAGGTTTTGGATATTTTGAATTTGTTAAGAGCAATAAATATTAGTTCTGCAGAGCTATCCAAAAAAATTAGAAATCTGTGTCTAGAGCTGACAAGACAGATTCAACACAGAAAGCTCTAAACTCAATCAGTATACTCTAATTACACCCTTCGATGGCACTTCTTTATTGTACAAATTTTTATCAGGTTGCCCTGTGCATCCATTTTAAGACTGATCTAGTCTTGCAATTTAGTATTTTACTGTATGTATGTATGTATATTTGTGTGTATGAATATGTGTATGTGTGTGACACACACATACACATATACATACAATCACTCTTCCTCTCTGCTCCCTTAAGTATAGTTTAAACTAGAAATCGGGGTTTCCCTCCTTCTTCATAACTGCTGATCTTGTGAATATAGTGTGCATGCTCATTAAATCAATGATAACTGCTCAAGTTAATCAAGCACCCAGTGTCAAAGCCAGGAGATCTATGCATTTCTGATTACCTGAATTTCCACAGATCCATGATATTTATCCCACTGAGCTCCCAAAGAAGTAAGAGTACAGACCTCTAAGGAACAAACTAAGCAATTAAACGGTCTGACAGCTGTATGAAAACCAGTGTGGGAAATCCTCAAAAACCCATGGCTTGTGTTTTAATGTGAGAGATAACAACATATTCAGGGGAAACATAGTCATAATATTAAATAAAATACTAAATTTTAGACTGAGAAAAGTCATACAGAATAGAACTATGTAAATCAGAATTTAAGACATTGAAATAAAATAAGCATGTTAGTTCTATATATTTAAGTGCTCAGAAAACAATACAAAGTTTCAGTCTAATAACGAGTAAATAGTAGTTCCCTTTACTAATAAAATGGGAATCAAGGATTCCAGGCCTAAGAGATTTACTGCTGAGGGGTGCGGGGCTGAGAGGGGAAGAGGGGCTTTAAGGAGGTTTCAGCACTGAAGCAGGAGACAGCTGTTTTCATAGTCAAGAGGTATCTATCTATATAGTCAGTCAACTGGAGCACGAGTAGATTGAACTTGAAATTTTCTGAAGTGTTTCCGCTGCTCAAATTTACCCAGTAGTGGCAGAATGACTGAGAGAATGAAGTTGCTATTTAAAAAAGATTCAAATCGAAGGAACCAATTATTTGTGCTTAGCTATTGAACCAAAAATTAAGTAGACAATGTTCTAGCTTCCTTATTTATAATCAAGAATACTAATAATATATTTAAAGTTATGACTTGACAACTTAACAAAGCAAAAACAATGAGACTATTACCAAAACCCAAAAACAACTGCTTAAATGAATCAAATACTCAAATCTGTGGAAAGAATGAACAAACTAAAGAAAATGAAATCATAATTAAATTTTATATATATGATGTATTGACAAGTGTTAGATGATTTATAAAGTTAGGCAGGGCATTTAATGACAGTCATTTCCCCCTCTTCTACTATCCCCCCAAAAACAAAGCAACAAAACATCAAACAAATGAGGTTAACTGACCTGGTCAAGAGTTACCATAAAAACTAGGAGAAGAACTCAGGCCTCTAAGCTTCAGGCCTCTACCACCCAGCCTCACTGGAGTCCACCACTGAAGTTAGGACTCCACTCAGTCCAACTCCCTGTCATTCCCCCAGATTTATCACCAGGGAACTATACACAGACAAGTTGCCACTTTCATCTGCCTAAGCAAAATTGAGGAACGGAGATTGATATCGTCCTATTTATTTATAGCTCATTCATCTGGGGTTGCTGTCCAGGTTGCCTTAAGCATTACCTTCTGAGCCTGACCCTGGGCAGTGCACTTCCTGTCATGACAGCAAGAGCGTCATAGGGACTTACAGCCTTGGATCAGTTACCTGCCCAATCACAAGGGACACCCATCATGTCCCTTCCAATCCTCTAGTCCTAATGCTTCACATTGGAGTGCTATTAAAATGGTCAAAGACAACTAAAGAACAAACTTCTAGAATATAGAATTTTCTAGAGAATAAGGAAAAAGCATGGGCCAGATGTTTTCATAGTCAAGAGGTATCTCTCTATATAGTCAGGAAGGAAGAATACACAATTACTTAGGAAGAATAGACATCTGTGAATGTCCCACAAAGCTCCAAGTAGAAAAGACTGACACAGACCTGAGTGATAGGGAGTATTCCTCTTTGAAAACAAAGGAGTAATTTATCAGACCAATAAATTCATTGTGAAGACAGGAAAGTCAAATTAAATAAAGCCAACAAGAGACAAAGCAATGTCCTAGTTTTGTACACTGGGAGCTGAGGCTTCACTGAGCACTAATTAGATCTGGTTGGAAAAGAAACAAATTAAATATGTTCCCTTTTAAATGGTGTATTTTTTTAAAACAAGAACATTTTAAGGAACAAAGGAGTTTGAATTATTTTCCCTAATTAATCTTGAGAATTAAAGTATAGGGTATCAAGCAATTTTTTTGTCTAATGTGCCTTGGGTAACAATCATGAAGGTGGACATGAAGATGTATTTAAAAGCCAAGTTATCTAGTTCTACAGTTTTGGGCTTTCCAACATGCCTCGGAAGCTGGGGTTCTAAAAGCAAAGTAGAAGAACAAATTAGTAAGTATGGAGGATCTGGGGTGCTCCTACCTGATTCAGAATGTAAAATACTTCCAGGAAACTGTCAAAACCACATCTTTTAGCTTATTTATCTTTGTGGTCTTCACATTTCTAAATTTTTATGTAGTTCTGTTTCCAAAGGGGCTGTAGATGTCTTTTGAAACTTAGATGGTGAAACAAAGCTTCATTCTAAGAATAAAGGTATAAAACAGGGAAAAAATTATTCAGAGCGTAAACAATTTTACTACAAGGGTATTAGTTCATACAAAGCACATATACCATGTACAACCTGTGTGCTGAATCCAGAAGTTTAGGGATGATCACAACTTGATATGATAACTGATGGCAGAGGTACGTACAGCTAGCAAGACAATACCCACCCACAAAAAGAGGTGATTCTCAGTACACGCACACATCAAGGCTTCAACTCGGTCCCAGAGTTGAGCTGGGCTCAGCTTAATACATACCTGCTTCTCTCTCTCTCTCTCTCTCCCTTTTAAACTTCCAATTGTTTCATACTCATGCTGGGTGGGGCAATGTTTTCCTTTAGTCTCTGAGTCTTGGGAAATAAGCATGCTGTGGTGACTTTTCTGGTTTCAGCAGAGCTACTCTGAAGCTCTTACCCTGCATCCCATTCCAATATCTCTTTGGGATTCATGCTTGCATGCACACCTTGCCACCCCCACCCCAAAATACAGAGGGGCCCACTCAAGTAGTCATGGAGGTCCACTGGCCATGGAAGGCTGTCCATGCAGTGAAATATAATTGCTTCTGAAAACAATAATCTAAATTTACTGTCCTAAGCTTGTTATTTCAGTGCTAATCTCATTGCTATTTATAAAAAGTCTAATAGAAAAATAAAAAAATTACTAGTAAAAAAACTTGTTACTAAGGCGTTTAAAAATGGGATGAAGATTTTGACAGAAGGTATTATAAAATGGGACATTAGTAGTAAACTTGATAAACTCTACCCTATTTCGAAAAATACCCCCCAGATACAAAAACTACACAAAACATGACAATAAATTTATTTTTAAAGAGCTCACTTTTAAACATACCAAGGAGGGTAAAGGAGCGGGGCTGGCAGAGGCAGAGATCCTCCGACGTGAGGAAGAATATCCTTCACTGATGTTTAATTTGAGAGGTTGGAATGGTTTCTCACTTCCGTTTCTTTCCTATTTCTCTTTGCTGCCTAATAAGAGAGGGTGATTCAACAAACTCCGAGGAAAACAGTGTTAGGCTGAAGTCCGTGTCTTGAAAGGGGAGTGCTTTAGTTTGCTGCACTTCAGAGCTACATTCGTAACTCACTGAAAGGGATGCTGCATCAGCAGGCTTCTCCCGCTATAGAACAGTCTCCTGTCCTTTGCCACAGTAATTCTTGGGTAGCATTACATGCATTTGAAAGGATTTGGACCTGTAGTGCTTGAAGGGATCTAGGGATCATCTAGGTCAGGGATTTTCCATTGGTTTTCCAGCCTCAATAGCAGAGGGATAGGAATGCAGCTTTCATGAACACAGCAGCCAACTGGGAGTGGCTGGGGTAGGAGGCTGAGAACAGGTGTGTCAAAATCCCTGAGTCCACAGGGGCAGGAAGAAATAGCCCCAAGCCCTATCTAGGACTTTTATCACTCTTACTTCTTCCAAAATTAAACTCCTTCTTCTCTTAGTGGAAATGATCAAACAATCTTAGGAAAGAATTACTTGCTATTTTTTTCTGACAAACTAAGTAACTCCTCCTAGTCCTTCCCTCCAGCACTTATTGTCCATTTCAAAATCACGGGATGCTGCGAAGCCTCCGACCTCCCTACTTCCCAAAATGTGGTCGAGGGGAGGGGATGGAACCAGGGTGCGGCAAGGTCCGAACAAGCAAAATTATTTATTATATCTTTTCCATGTAAGGTACAATTAAAATTTGTGATACTGGATTAAGAATTGTTTTAGAGCCCATCTAACTATAAAATACAATACAGCAGATTCACCAACAAGCTGTTCAGTTCTTCTAAATGGCTTGTTACAGATGCTTCTACCTTTCTAGGTACTTTCTGTGTATTGCAACACTTTGGTTTTAATTGCTATGTGCAGTGGTTGCTATGAACTATATTCTATTTTTCAGATTTTTGAAGATTATTCCAGTGCTTCCCTGTAAACTTTAATGGACATTTTCCAACTGTCCAATACCACTGCTAAAAATTATTAACTTCTAGAGGCCAGGTTAATGACCTACTTCTGTAGGCTGTGCCAAGACACTTGCCCGTCTTCCGTGGGCTTTGCTGTCTAGCCAGTTTTACTCTTGCATAATTAAGCTGCATGATAGATAGTCCCCATCTTCACAGCTGGCTAAGAATAATACCACCGAGCTTGGAAACAGAACATAATGTGAATATAGTGGAAAAATATAAAAGTAATGGGAAAGCTCACTATTCTTGTCATTTTATACTGTAAAAACAAAAAATGCTATAAACTGTTTGTGGGTTTTCTGTTGTAACCTGCAAGATCACCAGTTTTACTTAGAGCTTCAATATTTGCATGCATAGATACCAAGTTCTTTTGATCCAAGGAGCTCCATGGTCTGTCATGGCATGAGAGCTGAGCCACACAGTGTTGGTAAGAATTTGATTTCCATTCTCTCATTATATAGTATTTGGGGTTGAACAGAGCTCTTCAGCAACATTTACACTGTCTTTAATGTTTTTTTTTTTTGCAGGAGAAGTCATAGGTCAAGGATGGCCAAAGTATCTGATATATTTAGTTACTAACACACGTGTGCTTCACAATAAGATCACACACATAAACTGCTCTTTGTAGTACAGCTGGGGGAAAGAAGCTCTTTTAACTGATTATGTAGTATTTTAGTTTTGTTGGTGAAAGATTCCTGATGTTCACCTAACAGTGTTTGCAGACCCACGGGACTTACTGAGGGACGTGGGGTCGCGGCTCAGGAACAAGCGCAGTGTGCGCACACGTGCTGTCTCGTTACGTTGGCACTCCAGGTACTGCAAACATCAACAGAATTTCTCAGCTGATCTTGCCACTACTAATCCTGATTTAAATAATTACTGAGGGGTAGAGAAACTGGGTGTTTCACATGATAGTGAAATAAATCTAGCTCATTTTACTTTTAATAGATTTGGCGGTTTCATGGCATTAAAAAATCCCTCAGGAATAACGAGCAGCAGGTAAGCACAAGACAAAAGCTGCCAGGAACTATTTTCTTCCAAGTTCATTGCTGCACATGAGTGTAGCAGTTTCCAAATCTTTTTTTTTTTGTTATTGTTCTCTTTTCTAAAAATTCATCCGTCCCAAGGGAACCTCTTACTAAGGCATGAATTTTCCCATGAGTCCTAGGATTTGACTTGGGGATACACTTCTCCACGTAAACAGTGCTAGAAATTTGTTTTGAATACGCATTCCAAAGGTTCTTACGTAGATGATTTGAAAAACCTTTTGTGAATCTAAAAACATACAGACACCTTAGACAGGAGAATTGCCCTTTCTTAAGGACTCAGATTTCTCCCGCTTCCTTTAAGGAAAAGTGAAAAAACAGCATGTATACTATTTCCACAAGTTTTCTAGAAGAAAATCAAAAATTTTATATGTGAAAATAAATCAGTGAGCCATCATAAAAATGGATGAACAGGGCTCATAACAAACTAGACTATCTTAAAGGGAGGATCTTTCCAGCTAACTCAGATCAGTGGAAAAATTCGTAACTCATAAGTTTTCCAGACATAAAATTTCCAAACTTCCCAAGACCATGTTAGTCACTAGCTCTCCTGGGATATGGGACGTTTCCTTCATGTTCTGTAGGCTGCTGAAAACATGCACGTAAAATTTAAACTAAACACAAAGAAACATACATTTCATTAAAACAGCATGTGATGAATAATTTAAGATATTTTGGTAATTTATTTGGAACACATTTATCAGTGAAACATATAGGTCAGATCAGGCCATTGAGGTATCTTTTAGGGTTCTTGAATTTCTATGAAGAAATCTTTTTAATAATGATGGGAATAGCTGTAGTTTTAGATTTACTGAAATCTCTACTAAACCTTCTTCTCTCAAGCTCTTCCACCCCTACTCTGAACACACAGACTCCAATTAATAAGCACCTTTCAAAGCAGACATTCATTCTCTGGGCCTTTATTTTAAAATATCTCAATTAACTATTTGCCATTTTTATTGCCAATAGTTCAAAAGCTTTATTTTCTTATGCTTTCATAACTTTGGAAGTGCTTATGCCTCGCTGTAATCCACCAGGTAGGGACACTGCCCCCAAATCCTACCTCCCTTCCCTCGGCCTGGTTCAAATCCAGTTCATAGCTCTATTACGCACAATGCCAGAAGTTTAACAAAAGGTGCTAACCCAGCTCAAGAACTCTGTATTGACTTCCCACCGTTACGCTGAGGAAGGATGGGTCCCAAGTATAACACAGAGCCAAAAAAAATACACTCTGAGGACCAAGTAAATGACACAGTTAAAAAAAAAAAACCAAACTAAATCTAGCATCCTGTAGTGTTGATATTTTCGAGGTTCTGCAGTTGGCAAACTAAGTAATCCAGAAATCTAGAACAATGCAACTCCCAAATCCACACCTGAGGTATGGAAATTGCAATGCTGGCAAAATCAAAATAATATGGAGAAGAGCGCTTCATTAGTGGACTGGGAGAGTATCATACACTCACAAATACCTCAAAAATAGAAGAAGAAAGTCTGCAAGTAGATGAACTGGGCACCAAAGTCTTCACTGTCAAAGAAAGGTTGTTGCATTGTTTTGCCAGGCATTGTTTTACTGTAAGGAATTTTCATTTATACCAAAACAGGGGCAACAAGCTGGTCAGAAACCAGATATTCACAAGGATCCCCTGTATCTCCTACTGTTTAACTTGCTATCTCTGCAACCATAATGCAGGGGTTGGCAAGCTATGTCCTGCTGCCTGTTTTTATAAATAAAGTTTTATTGGAACACAGTCATGTTCATTCATTTACATAGTGCCTATGATTTCTATGTGCTACCGTGTGAGAGTTGAGTAATTACAACAGAGATCACATGGCGGGCAAAGCTTAAAATATTCACTACCCAGCCTTCTACAGAAATAGTTTGCAGACTCCTGCCTGGATGATGATACGGAAAAAGGCAACCCTGATGATGCTCTGGCTGCACACACGATCAGAAGTGTGGCCCTAAGAGGCACAGTAGCAAATATGCCATTTTTTCCTCTTTACTTTAAGGAGCATATGGGATTTTCTAAAAGGATGTTTTAATAGTGAACATGTTTGATAAAGATAGGAAACAATAGTGATTAAAATACAATTACTTTTTAGTTTTAAAATTCTGTAAACATAGTACTTAGATTGATGCTTTCTGCATACTCTAGTATTAGTATTATAGAGAATATTTGTACCTTACAGATCATCTCCATGGAGCTGATAGTTTGTAAAACACATTTGCAAATATTGAGTAGTCAGTACCTTCTTTCTGTAACCAAGTATAGAATATCTGTATTGTTTCATTGCTATAGGACATTTCTTTAGGAAGTGATGTATTAAAATAGTACATCATATATATTTATGAAATTAAGATGTCTTATATTATCAGAATAGTGGTTAATAGTCCAAAAAATGCAGTAATTAAGCACAGTCTACCCTGTGATTGTACTGCTTTCTTTGTGACATAGTTTGGATATATTCTGTGATACACAAGTAACCTTGAAAACTAATCACTTATCTGTAGTATATGTGAGGAAATGTTTTTTCGGTCCTAACTTAGTTCCCAATGTAAATCTGGGCTTGCTTAACTATTAGGATCTGGTTTTATGAAAAAAGAGGAATTCAAAGATAACTTGGTTTACAAAAGAAGTTAAATATTACTACTTAGAATAATAGACTTTTCTACTACATTTAATGTAACACAGAAACTTTTGCTTCATACCAAACACCAAAATGCCCATGGCATTAGTAATAGTTCTGTAGAGCATCACAGGCTGTAAAAAGAATTCTGTGTATGAGAGACAACAAGTCAATACTGGATTGCAAAAGAATAGAATATATCTTATCTAGACGAGTGGTTTTAAAAAGTCATCCTAATGAACCTCATAGGAAGTTCTTTGAAAACAAGTACAATTATGCAGAATGGATTCATTTCTGCTTCTTACAGTCCCTCTACTTGGGATTATAAAGCATGAGAAACAATGTAGATTTAAATTGTCACAGAAAAAATTTGACAACCATGGCTCCTGAACAAAACAGTTTTTTTTCCCTTTTTTTTTGAATAAAGCATTCTTTTGATAATGGGACAAGTTACTAAGAATTATTTTACCATTAAGTGTAACTGTTCATTACAACAATTTTCAATGACATACCAGAAAACAAATGGATTAAAATCAATTTGAGAAAATTTACACTATACCATAATATGAACTGTGCCCCAAAAGATATTTTATCCCTTTTGCCTCATTTTTATTTTAAAATTTATTTTTTATCTTTTCATATAGTATGCCTCTTCTTAAGTTGCCCTAAATCCCTTTTAAACAAAATGATGCATAAATAGCCACACCAGTAAAGACTGATGTGAAAATAAAACTATTTGGCTGCCATTTACTGATGGAATATATGTTAAGGATAAATATCTCTGAGGAAGCAACCCCATTAAGTATTGGTTAGAGGGCTGAGTCAAAGATAAATAGTAGTCAGGAGTATGAATTGGACATCATAGTTTGATATTAACAGTTTCTTTAACCAGTAGGCAATTTTTTTTTTAATATGTAAGAGTACCAAGGAGGCAGTCTTGTTAACAAGTGTTCTGTTAAAATATTTTGGATCTTGAATTAAAGCCAGTCGTGGATACAGAGCCCAGATGATGAATAAAAAAAGATGCAGCATTTAAACACGGTGGCAAAAGACACTGATTTACTTGGAATGAGTAAAAGGGACATGATAGAAGTCACAAAACATGAACATACACAAATTTTGAGCAGAGATAATTAAAGCTATGTTTCTTGAATTTGGGGCTTATTGTTTTAGCCACCAGAGGTCACCCTTCCCCAGAGAGACGAAAAGCAGGGTTTGCAAAGCACTTGTTCCTTATTGTGTATTTTTGTTATAAGGATATAATAAAAATACACGTGTTTGCAATATTCTTCCCTTTCCACCCAAACCATATGAGGATGGAAACCCCTCACCTTTGCCTTTAATGCAGACATAAGGTAATGGAAAACAGAAAAAATAAAAACAGTGTGAGAGGCCCAAATGACCTAAGGAACGGGTGAGTCAGCAAGCAGGGGTGGGTGGGGGGCATGCAGCTCTCTGGGAGAAGAGAGATTTGTGGAACAGCTACCAGGCTGGTGAGAGATGATGGAGAAAACTGGGTGAAAGAAGTTGTAAGAATTTTTACTATTATAAATATAAACATCTCTGGACATTTCTCAGCTGATGATGGAAGTAAAGATGTATACTCCTTTTTAAATTACTTTTTTGCATGTGAAACTTAAGTTTGTGTACCAAATATGGTTTTAGGGAAAAAGAAAATTAGCCAGGGCTCCTTCTGGATTCAACATATATATTTACAATCAAATTGGAGAGAAAGAGATTCTTAATTCATCATAGTGTCTTGCATAAAATACGTGATCAGTAAACATTCTCCCCGACTCACCCCACCTCATGTATAATACAAGGAGCTGACAACAAAAAGTTTCAATCTGTTTTGTTTTAATTCCACTTAAGAGAGGGCCTAATTCTCTTCATTTACTGCCCGTCTACTATAGCCATAGGTCAAAGTAAAATTCAAGACTAGAGCAGGTTTTTGTAATTTCATGTATGTGGATTACAGCAGCCAAGGGAAAATTCAGCATAGACCTTTATGAGTAGAAACTTCCAAAGGAGTTCAGAACCTTCCAAAAAACAATCTCAAAGAAAAGTGTATTTAGCAGCTCAATAGAAGTCCTTACCAGTTTGCGAAATTCTTTAAAAACCACTGTATTTCAACATATTGAC